CACATTTATGGCTCTCATCTTAGTCAGGTGATGAGGTTCTTCCATATGTTGGGAAAAAAACATTGCTATTAATAATAAATGTGCCAACAATTCTGTTTGCTCACATGACAGAAAAACATTTAAAGACAAATCATTAGGTCAGTTGGTACAAAAGCTAAAAGTTTATGTTTTTGTGACCAAAATCTGCTTTATTTAAAAAAAAGTAGGTTACATGTTTTCATAGGGAGACTAATTTCTCCTCAGGGGTTGGCAAAAAACTAAAGTAATGTATATTACTGGGTGGTACAAAGCCTTTATTACTCAACTTCTAAATATTAAAAGCTTACACTTTTAATGGCATTTTGTTTCGTCAACTGCACATACCCTGTTGTCCCTGAGAAGAAAAAAAACTGTTAAGATCATTATGTGTTTGTGCAAACCAGGCAGTTTGCTTTAATGTTTGGACACCAGATTATTTTGTGTCCCTTCTGAAAACATTTAGGCCAACGGGGTTTAAATGCACCATTGTTCAGGGTTCATTATGCAGAACTGTGATTTTCACTCGTCAGCCTTAATTTTACCTTTTACTGTGGGGAGAATGAGTTGTCAGGTAAATGGAAAGCCAAGTTCAGTTGATAATAAAACTTGATGTTAAGCAAATATGTGCTCAGTGCAAGCCTGCAGCAAGCAAAACCTAAATATATTACAAGAATCCACAGCCGCATGCTAAAGCGTTCTGCCATTTTTAAAGGTTAAATAGCAATATTTGGAATGCAACCACAGCTGCTTTGTATATAAGCAAGAGTGCAGTACCTTTCTTGTAATTAAGTTTCCTGTGTTGTGTTTTGTGGCAGCTAAGTTGATCAGTCATGCAGTGGTTTTCTGTTGTTCCAAGTGGGAAAGTTTTGTGTTCTAACCAAAGTACATATTTTTATTTTTGCTACACTGCAAAAACTGTCCATCTTACCAAGTTTTAAAATCTTATATCCAGCCAAAAAGTATTTTTGATCTTGGTTTGAGACTGATTTACTAAAGAAGAACTGATTGTGTAAAAATAATAATCTTGTTTTCAGAATGTGTAAGATTATTTGTCTTGTTAGTCTGAAAATTTGACTCAAATTAAGTCAAAAATTTCTGCCAATGGAGTA